CGCAGTTAAGGTATTACTTGTTAAAAACTATTACACAGAACATCACTTCACAGGTGACTGGACTATTTCTTTAATATTTCAGTTAATATGATCTGATACAAAAAGCTACTCGTCTGTAGAAATCACTCCAAGGATCGTGATACCATTTTTAATAATAAGGGTAGAAAATTGTAATGCTGAGCCCGTGCATACATCATGTTTACATAGTTTTTTGTAAGCATGCCGCTTCTGCTCAATACATGCTGCTGGTTTAACAAGCATTTTGTAAAGAAAAAAAAAAAGTATTGCTGTTGTCTATACTTAGATGTTCTGGTTTGAGGCCATCACAACCCCACCGAACTGCTGAGTGGCTCCACCACACCAGAGGATTGTCTTTCCTCGATCCTTTCACTAACCCATCATGGCACGAGGAGGCCTAAAGCGCAACAAGACAAGCTGCATTTCTCTGTTCGCATTCACTTTTTCTACTGTATTGCTGGTCTGTTTGAGTCTCTTTCTCTCTTTTTCTTTCTTTTCTTTTTTTTTTACTTGCATTGCATCCTTAGTGATGATTGACTCTCCAGGGTGAAGGGAAGCTGAATCCATGGCTCGCATTTCTAGCTTTTTGTGTAGTACAAGAGATTCTTTGTTCAATAAGTTTTGCCTCAGAGTTTGTGCTGCCTGAAGGCTATGGACGAGATTGGATATTTTTTCAGCACCATTTCAGGCTTAATTCAGCGAGCATCATGTTTCAGAGCTCGGCTGCTGTCTTCAGAGATCAGCGGTCAGTCTCGTTTCTAATAAAAGGAAGCATCAGAGTAGAACATAGAAGTCTAGTGATGTTTTTTGATCATTTATAACAACAGATATAACAAATCTTTATGATAGAAAATGGATCTTGATGAAAGAGTTTTAACTTGAGGACTCATTTACACATTAGTTTTTGTTTCTGTTTTAAAAATAAACATTGTTAGCCACAATGCAAAGTTAAAAATGCATTAATTACAGAGGCTTTTAAACTGCTATGCTTAAAAACAAGCAAGGATTGGAGGCTAGTGAATTGAAACTTTGTCATCAAAGGCAGTGAGTGACTTACATTCTTCTAAGGAATGCTAGACCTTTAATTTCAACCTGAAAACTTTACAGCTCCAAATTTAGTCTAGTTTTTATTAAAAATGTTTGAGGTTCTTTTTACTTTTTATTACACGTCTTGTGAGTTGAAGGTAACGGGAAATTATTAAGTTTCTTCTGCAGTACAAGAAGCTGTAAAAAAGTCAGAGTAAAAATAAATTTGATGTCAGTTTTGAAGCAGAAGAATTAAATTTTACTGGTCTTCAGTTGAAAGCGTCAGCATAGAAAGGCAAAGTAAGGAAATTTCTTCTGAACATCTCACACTCCTGTTGTGCAGCTCCACAAAGTATTTTACACATGGCTTTTATTATTGTTATTATTATCATTATTATTATTAGTAGTAGTAGTAGAAATAGTAGTGGTGGTTTAAGGTTCTTAATTGCCATTCACATCACATGTGGTACATTAGGTGGAACGAAATTGTGTACCCAAGGTCCCAGTTACACCCAAAAATAGCAAAAATATAAAGTGTAAAAGAAACAGTATATAAGGATCTTAGATATATGCTAAACGAACACTTAACGATATGCTAAATGATGCGCTAAAATATCTAAGATATGTGCTAAACACTAATAATGTAAAAATAATATGGTGTATTAAACAGCAGCCCGAACATGAGTCTGTCGTGAGCAGATGGGTATGAATGTAGCAGCATAAAGGCAAGAGATGAGCAGCATGGATAATCAGCAGCATAAATGTCACATATCACAAATTAAAGTGGCATTACAGTATCCTGACGCATGCTCAATAATCCAGGTAGAAAAATCTAAAAAAAGTTAAATCTGGTCCTCTGGACATTCAAAAAAAAAAAACTAAAACAAAGCAAAACAACCAAAAAAATGTAGAAACGTTTCGTCTTTCATCTGAAAGACTTCCTCAGTCTGAAGTGCTGTATTCAGCTCAGTCTATACTGACTGAATACATGGATTGTTTATTTAAAATATGACAGTATTTAAATATATATATATATTTTTTTTTTAAGGATTGATATTGGGAGTAACAGGTGATGAGTGTGATTGAAGCCTGGCACATGTCATGACAAAGTTTACTGAACTTGAACTTGAACTACTGTATCCCTACTTTGCGGTTTTTCGCTTATCGCGGGTGGGCGTGGTCTCAAACACCCGTGATAAACGAGGGACTACTGTAATAGTAGTAATAGTAGCAGTAGTAGTAATGGTAGTGGTAGTAATAATGATAGTAGTACTAGTAGAAGTATTGTGTGATTTTATAATTGGAACACACTGTGATGTGTAAAAAAAGAAAAATGACAATATATTTTTTTTAACTTCTCTTTCTGGCAAGTTTGTTGTATAATAGAAACTTCATAATAAATAATTTTGTTAAGCTACATAGTCAACTTGTTAAGTGTTAACTTATTATTTTTATATATGAATGTTTCTGTTCAGTTCCCTGAGAAGACTTCTGTTGTGACTTGGTGCTAAATAAATAAACTGAATTGAATTGAATGTTTCTGTGTAGCTACACACAAGTAAAACAGCAAGGAATGAAACTGACAACAATAATGAACAATCCAAACAAGAACAGCATTGTTGCTGTAAATATCACATAATTGCTATCATATTACACCCATATTATCAATACTGATCTGATCATTTTATTTAATCTCAAAATGTAAATTATTCATTTGTAAAATTTTGTGTGTATCGAACAAGTTTATGTCTGAATTACTGTCTAACCACTGGTGAATTTTTAAAATAAATAAATAGATAGAGAAATAAATCAATAAATAAAAAGGCATTGTAAAGTTGAATTTAATTGGTCTGCAGTGATTTATTCATCGTTTGATTTGAGTCCAACAAGATTTAAATGAGCCATTTATGTGTCACAATGGCATTTTAAATTCTTTATGTCTAGCATAAAACTGTTTCCTGTGTTGTATTAAAAAAATAAAAGATGCAAGTTAAACTGCTACAAAGTTACTTATCAGTTTTTCGATGAACAGATTAAGAAAGAATACGCTCGTACTCGCTGTTTTTGCGAATGCTTAAAGCAGACTGAAAATCAGGCTGTTCAACAAAAACATGATGCACTTGGATGACTCAAGAAAATGAAGATACACAACTTCTTTTTTTTTTTTTTGCTAAAACCTCATCAGCTTGCAATGTGCAATCAGTGGATCAAATTAAGTTTATCAAATGTTGCAAACGTGGCACTTTTAATGTTCAGTTCATTAGGAAATTGTGAGAATTTCATCGATTTGCAGTTTTGGTAAAGGCACAAGTAATCACAGCTCGGTTGCGCTTGTCATGAATCGCTTCATTTGTGTGAAACATAGGTACCACTCAAACGCGTTGCAAGCAGAGAAATATAAACGTTGAGTCTAATGGAGCATGTACTCATCACCGTCATTAGCAAAAAGGAAATAATCAGCCGGAAGAAATGAGTGGCAGGAAAATAGATTATTTTTTCTAACCACATTACTCAGAAATCTCTTGATTGCTCTCTTGCAGATTCTATTGATGACTGTCCCAGTAACTGCTTTGGAAATGGTGACTGTGTTGCCGGAACATGTCACTGCTTTTTAGGATTCAAAGGACCTGACTGTGGGCGAGGTGAGTCACTTCCTCAACCCCATCATTCAGAAATATTCTCGAGTGCTGTCCTCATGTCAGTTTGGTTTGAACCAAGGAACTTTGTCTTAAAATTGCCTTTATTTGGAGCTTAGATCAGTTTTTTAATCAACAACTTAACCAAAAAATGAAAGGCTTTAAAAATTGCAATGTTGCTAATTTAATACAACACCCCACCCCCCAGTTGTTTAAGTTTAGTATTCACACCTCAGTTGGGAAATAATTACAAACCAAACTGAAACAGTGTGTTTGACCAAATACATTTATCACTCAGTTATTAGCAAAAGACTGCTAGTGTTTTTGTTTCCATGTCTCTGTGTTTAATAATCTAAACAATTAGGAAAATATCTTGTGAATCATTTAAAAAGAATAATAGTGAAACTGTGAGAAAGTAGTCATTGGGTTGGCCTCTACAATCAATTAATTTTCAGAGTCAACTCAATTCAAGATGGCCACCACAGCAAAGTGATCTCAGCAAACACAAAACTGCTATCATTTGTCCGTTTTATATCTATTGAACTATAAACTGGTGTGATAGTAGATCAGATATGACTGATCTCCATTTCACACTCAATAAGCTGACGATGAACATAGAAAATAACAGGTACATACATACGATATTTTTCACCCTATAAATCACATTTTTCTGCATAATTTATATGCCTTGTGAGTTATACGCTAAAGCAACATATTTATGGATTTTTTTTCCATATTTATAAACCAATTTTTGGCTGAGATAGAACGGTTTTCATTCATTCTGACTGGAAATATTGACCACTACCATTTTTAACCACTAGATGGCACTCAAGTAGTATGACATGCCGTTGTGTCATGTAATAGGTAAAAGTGGCTATTAAAGACACAATCGGCTTGCCATGGAATTTTATTAAGGAAAAGTTAGACTCAGACACATCTTTGCTATAATTTTGAGCAAACAAATAATTGTTTTTAAGTGTTAATCTTGTTAAATTCTTGTTAAAGTCCTCTCGTGTATGCCCCCGCGGCCGCCATTTGGCAGCCAATCGATTTTTGGCACAACACCGGCCCACATTGACAGGTTGTAAGTGGTGACGCATAACAAATGCGACTCATCAGCGGTGACGCATAATAGATGCGACTTATACGACGAAGCGACACATTTATGGATTTTTCCACTTTAGTAGACATATTTGGACTGATGTGACTTATGGGTGGTGCGATATTTATGGCGGAAAATACATTACATACATTATCTTTACCTACTTCTTCCTTTTTGGGTCAAAAGGATGACTTGATGTGCATCTACAACTGTTTACCTTTAGGAGTCAACTAAATTCAAGATGGCCACCACAGCTAAGCAACATAACTCAATGCGTTATACCACTAATGAGCCTAAATTTGGAGTGGTAGTATCTGACAACACATCCTCAAAACACTAAGATATCATACAGAATATTGCATTAAACATAAAATATATATCTTATTCCTTCACAAGCTGCCATCTTTAATCCATGTATATTTTTATTTAGACATTTATAATATGTATCTATTTTACAAGTTCTAAAACATTCATATTCATGTCTTGCTACAATTGAAGCTGTGTCTACAGCAGGGGTCACATTCAAGTCATTTATTGTTATAAACTTAGCAGAAAAGAAACCTTTTCTCAGTTTGGTCAGACTTTCGTTGTCAGATAAAGTTGTGCTCTGCGCGCTCCATTTCAATGGATTTCTCCTCTCTGCTCTTTTCAAAGCTGCCTGTCCGGTGCTGTGCAGTGGGAATGGTCAATACCTTAAAGGTCGTTGCATGTGTCACAGCGGCTGGAAGGGTTCCGAGTGTGACGTTCCCACCAACCAGTGTATTGACATCACATGCAGCGGCCGTGGGACGTGCATTGTGGGAACCTGTATCTGCAACCCAGGCTACAAAGGGGAAAACTGTGAAGAAGGTGACAATTTCCACGTATAGTTGCCGTTACCATGAAACTATTACTGCTTGTCATCCTTAAAGTAGATCCTTAAGGAAGTGTTCTCGATTAAGCTGTTATAGCTTCAAGTCTCCAGTATTAAAGCTAGAACATCCTCTATGAAGAGCATTTTAGCCATAATGCATCAAAAAGCACTTCTTTGGACTCTTTGTTATTTTACTCCATGGATATAGGGCAGTATGCTAATCGAAACAGTGCATTTATTGTCTGAAGTTCAGACATAAAGTCTGCTGTTAATCTACGAGCATCTCCACCTTCATTCATTGTTGGATAAGGTTCGACTAGATAAGATTGAAGGAGTCATTGTGTTTGTCAGCTCTTGAAGGCTCTCATTTCAAGATGAAAAATGGACCCTGGGAGTTTGATAAATGGGGGTTTGTGACATCCATAGGCCTTCATTCTATTTTAGGTGACGCTTTAGCCAAAAGGAGTAGTGGGGGAATGTGGATGAGGGCCCTTTAACATTCTTACCTTTTTTCCATGTGACCTTCAGCCACAATGATTAATTGCCAGGAGAGAGTTTCTTGTCAGTTAGCCTCTGATCTTTGTGTCTTGTACCCAAACCATCTGCTAAGAGGCAAGAGATGCTGTTTGTCTTAGTATAACAGGCCTGCTATCCATTTATGTCATGGTAAAGGAAGTCCTGCCATGGTGTGGCCTATACTGCTCTCAGTGGCTAGACTTTACTCCCACTCTGCATCCGTGTGCCATCTGTGGGTGCCATCAAGATATTGTCTTGTTTAAAGAATGCTGACGTAATTGTATGCTGTTGCACCTTTGGTCCTTAAAAAGCAAGCCAGTCAGGGATGAACACATATTAAAAAAAACAACTTAAATTTATATTAGTATGCTAATTGAACTAACGTATATAGTGTGCAAAATATATTGGTATAAATATGCATATACATATGTTGATTGAGACTGAAGCATTGCAAAGCATGTTAGTCTATAAATTAGATTTAAGTAGGATTTCTTCATAGGGGTTTCTTGCTATAGCCTCAATTTTTGTCTTACTGTGTCTTTATAGTCGGTAAATGTAGGTTTCAAGTTTACAAACTTTTGCCTATGCATCAATGTAGCTTTTGATTTATAAAAATATGTCTTTATTAGGCTGTCTTTTCCTATTTGAAATATTTTTGTCTACAAAATGAGCAGAAAATGCCAGCATAAATGTGGGCTGAATCTGTGGGTTTGTGCCATAACACCCACTGAGCAACCAGCCATTTAATTTGCTTCTATGTAAATCTTTTTTTTCTCCTGTTTTAGAAAAAAAAAAAGACATTTTCTGTGTGTTCCCTTTGTACATTTATTGTTCATGTGCTAAGCTGGTTCTGCTTTTGAGCTGCAGCCCACTGAAGTTGTCATTCCGCTCAGGCTGAAATAAAGATGCCAGGATGGCTTTGAAAGAGATGGAAACAGCAGGTGACTGGTGTGTCTAACACTCTCTCTTTGAAACACTTTCAGTGGACTGCCTAGATCCAACATGTTCGGGCCGAGGCGTTTGTGTCAAGGGAGAGTGCCACTGCTTTGTTGGGTGGGGTGGGCCAGGATGTGAGAGTCCCAGGGCCTCCTGCATGGATCAGTGCTCTGGACATGGAGCTTTCCTGGCAGACACTGGAACCTGCAGCTGTGATCCCAACTGGACCGGCCACGACTGCTCTACAGGTAAACACTCCAATTAGGAGAGCAAACACTGGCAGGATTTCTTTTCAAGCTGTTTTAGCTCTGGTTGTTTAAAAAAAATAAACGGTTTGGTAGATCTACAGAAGCCTATTTATATCTACACACACACACATACATATATACACACATACATATATATATATATATATATATATATATATATATATATATATATATACGTATTTTGCAAGTTCTCCCACTTAGAAATAATGTAGGGGTCTGAAATTTTCATCTTAGGTGCATGTCCACTGTGAGAGACATAATCTAAAAAATAAAAAATAAATCCAGAAATCACAATGTATAATTTTTTTTAAATAATTTATTTGTGTGTTACTGCTGCAAATAAGTATTTGAACACCTGTGAAAATCAATGTTAATATTTGGTACAGTAGCCTTTGTTTGCAGTGACAGGGGTCAAAGGTTTCCTGTAGTTTTCCACCAGGTGTGCACAAACTGCAGCAGAGATTTTGGTCCATTCCTCCACACACATCTTCTCTAGATCAGCCAGGTTTCTGGGCTGTCGCTGAGGGAAGGAGGTTGTTCCCCAAAATCTCACAATACATGGTCCCGGTCATTCTCTCTTTAGTACAGTGCAGTCGTCCTGTCCCATGTGCAGAAAAACACCCCCAAAATCATGATGCTTCCACCCCCATGCTTCACAGTAGGGACGGTGTTTTTGGGATGGTACTCATCATTCTTTGTCCTTCAAACACGGCGAGTGGAATTAAGACCAAAAAGTTCTATTTTGGTCTCATCCGACCACATAACGTTCTCCCATGACTCCTCTGGATCATCCAAAAGGTCATGGGTAAACTCAAGACGGGCCTGGGCGTGTGCTGATTTAAGCAGGGGAACCTTCCTTGCCATGCATGATTTTAAACTATGACGTCTTAGTGTATTACCCACATTAACCTTGGAAACAGTGGTGCCAGCTCTCTTCAGGTCATTGAGCAGCTCCTCCCGTGTAGTTCTGGGCTGATTCCTTTCTTAGGATCATTGATACGCCACGAGGTGAGATTTTGCATGGAGCCCCAGTCTGAGGGAGAGTGACAGTCATGTTTAGCTTCTTCCATTTTCTACTAATTGCTCCAACAGTTGATCTTTTTTCACCAAGCTGCTTAGCAATTGCCCCATAGCCCTTTCCAGCCTTGTGGAGGTCTACAATTTTGTCTCTGGTGTCTTTGGACAGCTCTTCGGTTTTAGTCATATTAGTAGCTGGAGTCTTACTGATTGTGTGGGGTGGACCGGTGTCTTTATGCAGCTAACGACCTCAAACAGGTGCTTCTAATTTAGAATAATAAGTGGAGTGGAGGTGGAGTTTTTAGAGGTGGACTACAACAGGTCTACAACTAACAGGTCTTTTAGGGCCAGAATTGTTGCTGATTGGCAGCTGTTCAAATACTTATTTGCAGCAGTAACACACAAATAAATTCTAAAAAAAAATCATGCATCGTGATTTCTGGATTATTTTTTTATTTTTTTTTAATTATGACTCTCACAGTGGACATGCACCTAAGATGAAAATTTCAGACCCCTACATTATTTCTAAGTGAGAGAACTTGCAAAGTTGCAGGTTTTTCAAATATATATATATGTGTGTATATATATGTCATGTGTACTTTGTCATAGCTGATGCTGTCCAATGAAGATTGATCTATTTCTATTTGTTATCTTAGCTTTTACATGTTACAACCAAAATGAATAGCAACAACCTGTATTAATTTTAACACCTCGGTCAAATGAATGTAGTTCCTCTGCCTGATTACATGTAATTTTAGTAATTACTAGGCTTCAGTCTGAGGTAAACGTGTGTGATTTTCTTACTTGGCGTTTCTGCTTCAGTGATTATCATCAATAATCAGTCAGAGGTAACAGCTAGCAATCAAATTTGGTTAATTTTTTGTCTAATTTCTTGTCTCTTCAGAATGTAAATGCGCCACAACTGACAGCTAACATTAACAACATGCATCATAATTGAAATATCTGACAAGTTATTTGTAAAATCGCATTGTTTTGATCAATTTTGGTAATTGCTTTCCTCATCAGAGACATGAGCATTAGTGAGATTTTTTTCCCCAAAAAATATAAAAGACATGGCTTCCATACAAGCATAAATGTGTTTAATCAGTTTTCAGTTGGAAGTACACGACATGTAATCACATTTTTGACGATTTTCCTCTTAATTTAATTATTTTACAAATGGCTCAATCCCCAGTTTCTGCATGGATAGGTGACAGCTGAAAGAGGAAAAGATGCAAAGCCCAGACTATGATTCAAGATAATGCTCTTTCTTGAATTCTTCCTCTCTACACTTTTGTGCAAGGTTCACAGCTAATAATAGTTTAGGTTTTTTCTCCCCCTCTGCTCTGGAGGACTGTTCCCATTGTGTTCATTATGTCCATGGGGAGAGTTCTCTCCTGGTAGTCAAGTAAAGATGAGTGGAAGATATAGTTTTAAAGCTAGAATATTCCAACACGGAGCTCAAACGATAAAGAAAAGCCAGTAAAACGTGGGCTCAGCTCCGACAGCCAGCTTGCTCATGTTTAATAAAGATGAATTTTACTGAAAACCTCAGTGAACTCACTTATACATTGTTATAGAGCTGTCAAATGTAGTTATCCGTCAGCAATGGCTCCCAGTCTCTGCAGATGCAAAAGTTGAAGGATTTTCTTTTTTCTTTGCACTGCGGCTGAAGAACTTTTCAGTTTTACACATGAATAAAGGTTCGTACGAGTCTTTATTTGCAGTCTATTGTTGTCGGCAGATTATGGCTTCTGATAGCTCCGTTTCAACAGACTGCTGATGTGTTAATAATCAGCACGTCAGTTCAGCTTCTTGTTGAAGCTAATACAGGTGCAGAATTTTTAGACTCTTTTTTTTTTTAAATCCAGACACAGGTTTATATTCTTGCAAAACATTTCTGGAGTGACTGTTTTAGCACAGCAGCCTCTTTGATCCACGGATCCTGTTTTGTACTCCAAGCAGGCACAATGACCTATTAGGTAATCCCAAGGATTTGGAAGGAAATGGGCAGTTAGTCTGAATTTGCCTTGCAGAGAGAAAGCTCCATAAATGATGATGAGTTGGCTCTTTATCCTCCTTTATCCTGTTCATTGTAGAGCTCTCTGTGCTCTAATACAACCGTAAGCTATAATATGTGTTGGAGTCCCAGAGCAGGCATCCTTACAGACGTGTGGGGGTAAAATATGAGAAGCTTTCAACGTATTTCGGATTTATTTGATCCCACCTCCTCAATACTTTTACATCACAAGCTCATTTTCTCATGTGGCTTTGGAAAAGTCAACCAACATGTGCACAGTATGTACTAATACTTTTATTCGCTATAAAACCAACCCTGACGTTTTATGTCCTTTAAAATGAGCGCTCTAATGCCATTTTTGTCAGTCCCCCACCTCGAGGAAAGTTTGTTTACACGGTCTACAGCTGCAAATGGGAGTAGCCATTATAAAAATGTGTTATTTCTCACAGTGGACTCCTTTGACCAAAGATAATGAGCGTTTACCTGTGGGCTGCAATTGCATCTTAATCATGTTACTTATTTCCCTTTTGCTCCAAAATGTTTTAAAAGTCAGTTTCCTTCTTTTTTTTACAGACCTTTATGAATTATAATGATGCTGAGGAATGAGCAGCAAGAGACTTTTTCTTTTCTTTAACATATGTGTTAAGATCTCTCTGCAAGTTGCTTTTGTTCATTAGCACCTTGCGTTTAATTTGATGTTACCTTGAGAGAGAGTGGAAGCTGGCGTCTTGGTGAATGGTTCATGAGCGGACTTCGTCGTCAACAAGCCGTTCTAATAACTCGAAAATTTCTGTTTGTGTACCGCTGTGCTTAAAAGTCTTTGCAGGCAATTATTTGGACACCGCTAGAATACGTAATAAATCAGAAGTAAGTAATAAAATAAACATTTGCATAGTTTGTGCTTATATGTAATTAGCAGGGGGGAGGATTTTGTTCTTTTTATTTTGAAAAGGTTTTCAAGACGTTTACGCCGTGTTATGGTTTGTGGCTGAAAACACCACTCAAATTTAATTAGTAACAATGACAAAATGGGCACTGTAAAGGCTGTAATTGACTTGTTAAAAGATTTTACCTCCAGTTTGGTCCCCTGTGGTCATATTTGAATTGGCTTGGCTAATAAGCCAAGAATAATATTGTCCATTATTGCACATATGACTAAGCCCCTGTTTTTTTTTTTTTAAACTACAGAATGGTTAATAAAGAGGTTAACATTTTAATCAGAATTATAAGTAATCTGCTAGTGTTTAGTTGCTTTGAGCTTTTGGCTACTCAAGTTCATGAGATGAGGCTAATGTCCTGGGCTCTATCAGAGCAGGGAGGTCTTTCAGCTGCCACACAATAACCTCATCCAGGCTTTACTGTGGCTCTGTCTCTCATTTTCCTTCAATCCATGAATGCACGCCTTCCTCTGCTAGACGGCACTTAAAGAGAATAAAAACAGCATATTGAAATCCTATGCCTTAACTCATTCTAAAGATTTGTGCCTCCTGCCTCACAGCCCACAGCAGAGCATGTGCCAAAGCTATGAGCTGTGCATGTATTTAAAGAGAAAAAAAGAGGAAATAACATTTATAGCTTATTCCAAATGGCGTTGCTTAATGGAGTGCTGGATTTGCAGCCGTTCCTGCAGCTACAGCTGTGCGTTTCTTTCTCTTTACCTCCTTTGTGGGATAAAAAGGTGTATCAACAAAGAGAGGAAGGGGTGACGAAAAGAAGCAGCCCTCTAAGGCCACCGCAAACCTTGTCTTCGCTCGGTAATGGACTTATTAGATTTGTATTGTCAAAAAGGATTGCCCCTATGAGGTGCAGGAATTTCTTTTCAGCTGCCATCAGACAAGGTAGTGAAGCGTGGCCGTCTTTCTCTGACAATAACTTCTGGATTTGTCTTTTTTTTTTTCCACCCCTGTTGCCTTGTCCCATCACCGCCTCGTCTTCCCTTTCCATCCCATTCTCCCCCAAACGCCGCCCTCCCCCTCCTTTCTTTCTTTCTGTCTGTCTTCCCATTCCTTTTTTTGTTCCTTTTTCTGTGTCCCTGTCTCCCACAGAGATTTGTGCAGCGGACTGTGGTGGCCATGGCGTTTGTGTTTCAGGCACCTGTCGCTGTGACGACGGATGGATGGGCACCGGGTGTGACCAGAGGGCGTGTCACCCGCGCTGCAACGAGCATGGCACTTGCAAGGATGGCAAATGCGAATGCAGTCCAGGCTGGAACGGAGAACACTGCACTATTGGTAGGATGAGAGGAGGCTTCGGTTTGGGTGGGGGGTTGGTTGGAGCTATATGTCTGTGTTTGGTTTGGGGTGGAGGTGGGTGGTGCCGACAAAGGCACATACGCTGCCACCCTGCCTGTGTGTGTATGACGCGTTGGGTGTGAGGGGAAGCATCCAGTTGGAGAAAGGAGGAGAAAGCATGCTTAATTGAATTTGTGCGACTCGGTAAAGCATGAACAGGTTTACTCAAGGATCTGAGGCTTGCCTTCATGCATTTTAATGTGGGAATGTGCTAAGGTGTTTTTTCATTTTTACTCATCCGTTTCCTCATCTCTTCCTCCGCTCCCTTTCCATTTATTGCTACGTTCAAATGCTGACTTTTGAGTCATTGTGAGCAGGTCAACCACTGCTTTCCCCCCTCTGTGTTTGCACTAATGCTTGTTTTTCCTATAAGTTTTTGTATATTTAATGTTTTAGCATAAGGTGCCAATTATTTTTAGGTTGAATTTTTTTACCTTTCTTTGCTTTTTTTATTATTATTTAGGCACAACAAAGAGCAATTGTAGCTCTTAAAATCAAGCACAACACTTAAAATAAGCTTTCACTATGTCTGTATTTTAGAGATCCAAAATAAGTTGCCCTCCTGCCGTCAATAGTTTTTTCATTTTTATTTCGTGTTCCACTAATTTGAAAATGCATCCATAGAGTCCTGTTTTAAAAAAAACGAACTATGCAGTAGTTGACTTCTGTTTGTTTAGTTTTAAATGCTTGCATCTTAAAAGGTAGCATGGAAACATTTTCATCGAGTACGCTGAATTTTTTCAAGGCGTTACTCTTTGTATGAAATCATAAAAACAAGCAATTAAAGGAGTAAATTATATCTGATTTGGTTTTTGTCAAACCTCAACTCACCAGCAGCAACAATGCAGAGAATGAGTGATATGATGTCGATTCATTCAACCTTTATTTATACACGTTAAGCCCATTGAGCCTCGGGGACTCATTTACAAGAGGGACCTGGTTTTAACAAAGAGTGATGACAACAATAGACAATCATAAAGGATGCTTACAAATTGAGAATAACAAATGGAAATAAAATGGTATTTAAAAAAACGTAACAAAAAACAATAGGTTGTAAGGCGATGTAGAAAACTAAAAACAAGAACATGTCTGCATTGGTTTTCCCCAGGAACAGCAGATGTTTGAAGCCACTGATTACCACTTTGTGTTTCTGTTTGTACATCAGCTTTATTTTTCTTTTGCTGGGTTTGACACTGAGTTTACTAAATATTAATAAAAAAATATTAATAAAACATTATATACCTTTTCATCTCTTTTATATTTAAGAGAAAGCACCTATACTTTATAAATTCATGCGTCAAAACTCTCTCAACTCTTACAATCAGTCTCCCAGCTGAAGAAATGTTTGAAAGTAATGCATGACATCACAATAGAGGGCCAAGATGGGGTAGAGGCAGGGAAGCTGACCTGGGACTCGAAAGCCCCAGGCCCCAGCCATTACCACATGCCATGGCGTCTCTGAGCAAGACACCCAATCCCTAATTGCCTTCCGGGACCATTGCCCCACCTGGTTGTACTCCAGGTGTGATGGATTAAATGCAGAGAACCAATTTCGCCATTGTATGGGAACATACGATGACACCACATAGCACTTTACTTTACAATAGTGTATAAAACTCAAATAAAATAATGTAGGTCTAGCATTATTAAAGGAAAGTGCTTCATCCACTGCCTTTCATGCCAGTTTTCAACTAAGATTGTCTTATTTTGAGAAATAGTGAAGTGTTAGATAATTTGGTCAAACCTTGAGAAAAACATGTTCAAAGAAATGTGTTATGAATAACTCTCAGCTACCATCATATCACATTTTAGCTCAATATCTTTAAAACTGACTGACTTGTAGCTGTTTTTGTGTTCGATAATGTTGTGCAATAGTGTTTACTGTGGCGGCCATCTTCATTTGGATTGACACTAAAATTTAAATGTATGCAGATGCACAGGAATTGACTATTTCCTGAAAATTTTATTAAAACCTATTCAGTGATTCATAAAATATTTTGCGTATAGAGTTGGACTCCAATCAGTTGAGACAAATTTTTAAAAAGATGCTGAGCAATCAGTTAGAGCTTCGAAAATACATTAGGGATCTGCAGAATTGACTGAATTATAACAACATTTTGTGTTTGTCACAGTCAGTGGGCTGCGGCAGCCATCTTTTATCGAGTTGTGTCCAAAGGTTAATCAGAAGTGCATCCACTAATTACTTTCTGCAAGTTTGCCTAAATTCTTCTCAGTGGTTCAAGAGATATTTTAATAGCAGACAAAAAACACAAATGTACACACATAGACAAAAACATAATCATCCTTTTTTTTTTTTTTTGCCTTTCTAAAGTTTGTGATTAAAATTGCAGCATGCCTAGTTGCCTATTTATTTTATAATTCTGTGATACAGCTGCTAAAACATCACCAGGAAAAAGCAACTTAATTACCATTTTTTTGTTCACAATGACCAATATGATGCTCATATTTCAGAAAAAAAGTTAAAATCTTGATAATTCTGACTGATTATGACTAAAAGCTGACAACTGTCAAAGAACCTTACTTCACAGTGTTCTCATATGTCTCAAAGTAGTGCTGCCTGAGTACAGAGCCTTGAGTCGGTTTGTGAATGTTTTATATGCTGGCCTTACATTATTGATAGCTCTTTTATAAAGGCCATATTGAGATCACCGTTCAACAAGAATATCCCTCTGTGTCTTCCATTAACATGCCAAAGATCTCAATTTAAATCAATTTTCATCACTGAGCACTCCGTGTTGACCCTGGGCCCCGTGCAGGAGGTCTGGTTTGGTCCCACATTTCAACAGGACCTCTCGTGACCTCACAGTCTGCAGATGTGTGTCAAGATTAAAAGAGCTTTTCCTTGAACATCACAACCTCCATCCAGTACGACATTGCTTAAAAGATTTAAGGATTGTAATATGTGCATCAATCATGGTGCTTTTGAAATGGTCCCTGGAGGTATTGAGCCGATCCCAGCATTTAATAAACAGGAACAGACTGAAACGTTCTTTCTGAAGATTTTACTTTCGTGTCTGCTTTTTTTTTTGTCTTTCTCTTCCTCTGTGTTCCACATTTTCCTCTGTTTGCTCTCCATCTCCATCGCTTTTTTGTGTGTGTGTGTGTGTGTTGGACTATGTTTGATGTGTTGCCCTCAATGCATGCTTGTTATGCTTCACGACAGCAATTTTCCTATTTTTTATTTAAATTTACTTTTTGTAATGTAAACTAACACATTGCCCTGCTGTCCTTTCATGGAAGTGACACTGTTCAAACCTCCCTTAAATGTCTTGTCTTTTATCTCTCAAGCTCACTATCTGGATAAGGTAGTGAAAGGTATGGCATTCCTCCTTCAATGTATTTTGCTCTCAACCCATTGTAACTCCAGTCAGCATTAAAAAAAATCACGCAAAAACACACACACCCTGCTCTTTTTCTGCAGTGACTGATTCTAACACTTCCTCTTGTCCCAAAGGTAGTATCTCATTGGGCTGCAACTAGTCGGTGAACAGTATTCACGAAGGAGTCTTCAGGATGTTCTGCAACCTTTGCAGGGTTTCCCAATTTCCGTACATGAGTCCTGTCACTTGGGTTTTGAACATGTCCCCAAAAATTTGTGTGACAGTTTGGCTTTCAACAAAGGCACATAATCATTTTGGACATTTCAAACTATTTTAATTTTGTTGAAGCATCTCAAATCAGTCTCAAGAGCATTAGAGGGGTGTATATTAACACTTGCAAGAGTGCTGTCCTCTGACAGAGAACAATTCCATCTCTGAAAACTACCATTCACCCATCAATCCTCTGCCACGTATTCACGAGTGGGTCTGGAGGCAACAAATATAGGAGGGAAAACCCAGATATTTTCTCCTCAGTGACACTCTCCAACTCTTCCTGGGCAATCCTAAGGCATTCCCACGCCATAGAGGACATGTGCTATAATTCCCCCAGTGAATTGTGTCTCCTCCCAGTTAGACATGCCTGGAAAACCTCCAAATAAAGGCACACGGGACATTCTGATTAATGCAGATGCCTGAACCACCTCAGTAGATAGCTTTTGATGCAGAGGAGCAGCTGCTCTACTCAACTCCTACTGGATGATGCAGCTCCTCGCTCTATCTCTAAGGGTGAGCCTGGTCACCCTATGGAGGAAGCTTCCTTCCTTCCTTCCTTAGATAAATATCTTTACTAATTGGCATTTATAATATTTGTGAATGTTTCTGTTCAATGCCCTGAGATAACTTATGTTGTGACTTGGTGCTATATAAAGAAACCGAGTTGAATTGAAACACTTGCATGCAGTTTTGCAAGTGATGCTCACAAAAACTGAGCTGTGATTTTCCATAACCGACTGTTCAAACACAGCTGCAGGGCTTGCTGATCATTTGATCTCAAATATTTAGAGCTCAGTAATATTGCAAATGAAAAGTCCCCTTTTTTCTCACAATTTTGAGTTGTCAACTAGCCTCTAACAGTCACAGCCCAATAAGATACAACCCTATGCAAGTCATTCTACAGATCCTCACTTCTCATCACCTTTTTTTACCATATTGTCTCATAGTAACTTCCACTTAGCACCTTCACACCTGTTGAGTGAACTTGAGCTGCTTTCTTAATGTTATTGTTTGGTCTGTGTGCATCCTTGCTTTCTCTGTTGGGGGATGTTGGGGAAAAGGATTCATAACTTGTGCCATGAATTATAGATGAGTGTACAGCAACTCTGTGCAGGGCCTGATAGGTGCTGAGGCTGCATCCTCTCTAATTAAAAGAGTTCATGGTCTGGTTGGCGCAAGGCAAGCAGGGATGGAGGTTTTGCTGCAACCCTGTCTGTCTGCCACAAGCAACCCCCCACCCCCCAATCTCACTGTGTTCTTGGTTATAGACCACCTGGCATAAAGAGAAGCTGCCAGAGGAGTACTTCGAACATTTGCAGCCTCACGTCTGGAGCTGTTTTAGGCAGGCTTGGGAAGGGCTCTGCAGGGGCTTCTCTCTGAAACTACTGCCAATTAAGTTGAAATGGTGCCAACTGAGAGTGGGTCTCTATTTATCCTTATAACAAACATTATGAGCGACGTAGCTGTCCCATCTTCGCTGGACTAGCCAGAGATGTTTTGTGCATTTGTTCAATAAATGGAAAACTAAACCAAATTGTATATGAGGAGAGGCACGTTACAAGGGTTTTTAACCTTCAAGAACAGATGCTTTTTAAGGACAAGATTTACTCTTTTATGCATTTTTTTTTTTTACGAAAAATTATGCATTTCATTCATTGTCAACATTTTTAAGCAATATTGGTAGTGCCATTAGCAAAAATTGGCACAAAACATCTAGAATAGTCTACTGCACAGATGACTGTTGAGGCTAAGAAAAAAAAGTTAGGAGATTATATTGTAAAGTAAATATTTGGCTGCACTGTGAGTTTCAAGTTATATAGTATAATGCCATCTTTTTTTCTGGCTCATCCAATCAATTCATTCAACCTTTATTTAGACAGTTAATCCCATTGAGCCTCGAGGACTCATTTACAAGAGAGACCTGAAAATTGGCTCGTCTACGTTCTAAACATTTTGTTTATTCACCACACCTGCCTCTCCTCTTGTCCTTCTCTTCCATTCCCCCAGTCCTGTTTTATCTGTGTGATGTAAGAACATACAGTAGAGACAGCTGCTCCCGTCTCTTTCGTTGATAAAATGGGTCAGCTTAGCTTTCTCTCTATCAAAGCAGCCTGCTAACAACACAATCTGTGACAGACTTGTGTGTTTGATATCTGTAGATTTTACCCTCTGCCTTCGCGAGGGGATAAATAGCATAATGTATCAGATAAATGTCAAGCAGGGGTGGAAAAATTGGCTAGATAATCCTCTGTTCTGTGCCCTTGTGAAGACCTATCCAAAGAGAAAACAATGAAGTGTTTCACCTGTCATTCTGCTCTAGACTGCTTTAGATCCCCCGGGGTTGCAAAGCCCAGAAATACAGTTGGGTGACCTCTGCTTTAAACAACAGAGCCAAACCTTTCAGACTGAACGGCTTTATCGAGCTTTCTGCCACTGTTTATGACAGAGGATGCTCTCTGCCTTTAGGGCCTAATCTGTTTGATTGCTAGGAAAAGTATGAGAACAAGCTTTTTTTGGTAGCACTTTTTTTTTTTTGCAGAAGTCTAGTTGTAACACTGCATTCCAAAAAAAAAGATTAAAATCCTAAATTGCATAAAAATGATCCAATTGTCTTGACACAATACCAGGATATGCACCACTGCTTTCAACACACAGCTGCAGTCGCATAGGTACAGGCTAATCTACTGTAGTAATAAGTGAATATTGATTTAGAAGATCTCTTTTATCTGCTTTTACTGCGAAGGGATATTAAAGCTTCACAAAAGCTGTATCAAATTAATCAACTTTAGCTCAGGGTCATTATAGCTGCTCTCGTCCATTTAAAATCTTTACATGACTTTAGTTTATTGATGCCAGAAAAAAAGATTAGCAAAGAACCATCATCATCAGCCAGCCCACATTGTTAAAAAAGTGTTTTGTGGTTGGTGTGCACAAACAACATGCATTCATAACTGAAGCTTAATAATATTTGTTTGTTAACTTTTGTTTTTATCCTATTTTATGTCACAGAGGGCTGCCCTGGTTTGTGCAATGGCAATGGTAGGTGCACTCTGGGTAACAATGGCTGGTACTGTGTGTGCCAGCTGGGCTGGAGGGGCACTGGCTGTGACACCTCAATGGAAACTGCCTGCAGTGACGTCAAGGACAACGACGGAGGTAAAAAAAAATCACAAATGAGACAACACCATTCCTTCTGACCATGCGCTAAGATGTGATTTATCTGTAAAATATTCCCCACATCTGAGCTTGAAAATACTCTTTACCTGCTCCGTGTAGTTTTTTGTAGGCCGTTCTGATTTTATTATTCATATATAGATCCAATAACAATCAAACTTGTCTCAAGATGCTGCACATATCTCGGCGCCTCAAACCCCAAGAGTAAAGTTGGTTATAACAGGAAGAAAGAGACGAGGAGACTAGAAATCAAAAGCAAGCATGTAAATATCACACACACGCATATCAAAACATAACATAGATGCAACAAATACAGTCATGGGGGGTTACGTTCCAGAGACCCCCGCGGTGGGTGAAAATCTGTGAAGTAGCAGCGTTATATATCATTTATATCAGTGTTTTTCCTAGATAACTTGCCATGGTGCGGGGCGGGGCACCCGTGATTTTTGTCAGGGGGTGGAGAGATGTCTGAGCTGCCCCGGTGTTTGTGCCGATGTGAGAGAAGAGGCAGCGTGAGTGCAGCCTTTAGCTTTTAAGCTAGCGCGCCTGTAATGCGTGCAGCTAGCTTAGCGCTACATCAGTGCAGAGGGAGGGGGCGGGGTTTCGATTTGACACGCAGTTCAGTTTGGTGGGCGGGGCGCCCTGTTTGTATAATGGTAGGGTAAACACTGTATTTATATTTAATGCTTTATTAACATTTCCCACTCTCTTATAAACACTTCCTTTGCTCTTAAACACTTTGGCGATCGTGATAAAGATGATTACGATGAAATGAATGTACAGTACACAAAATATAAAAAACTGGGTTTTAAAAAACGTGATAAAGTGAATCTGCAAAAAGTGGACCACAATACAGTGAGGGACCACTGTACAAATGTGACAAGGCAACAAACCTCCATTATGTGCATGCATTGTTCAAGGTTATTCTTAAGGATCCATTCATTCTCTGTTCATTGACTAAAATGGCCAAGTGAAAATCAAATATTTACATTCAAATGCAAAAAGTGTTTTTTGGTTCATATTTTACTGTGCCTGACCTTAGCAGGACCATGAAGTATCTGTGCATTTAGTCAGTTCTAACCTTTACATTTTACTTCTGGTCCCAAAACTCCAAAATGGCTGTGACCGAATAAAAGTAAACCATCACCATAAATCAGATGATATCACCACTTTTTTTTGTCTGTGTGCACAGAACAGACACAGTTGACCAATACAGTACAGTATATATACAACAAAGGGGATTTTGCCCATGTATAAAATAGAGAAAACCATCCTCTGAAGTATTAATGAAGGAAGTCACCTGGACAACTTTTTTTTTTTTCTTTAAAGCCTGATGCCTTGAACACAGGCTGGTCTCTGGGGGAGGTCCTTGCTTCCTCCTCTAACTAGCCCTGAGCAGAGCCAGGCATACATACAAAGCCAGCCAGGGGGCTGTGGTGCTCTTGAGGCCAAGTGGAAAACGTGACTTTCTTTTTTTCCAGGCCTGATTCTTCGTCTTGAACTAGGCACAAGCCCCCCTTATTTATACAGGGGCAGTTTGTCTTCCCATCACTTCACAGGGACCACACTGCTCTCAACTGCAAAAGCAGGGTGCTGCATGGGATTTGACTGACTCCTGACAGCAGAGTTTATTTTTATCACCCATCTGGCCAGATATGCTACTGAAAGCAAAGGGTTTAGGGAGTCCAGTGACCCACTTCAACAAAGTAAAGTGCATTGCAAAGCAACTCTTGCATTGTTGCAAGACATTATCTTACTTGCTGATAGAGAAGCATGAACAATGTTTATATCCCTTATGATTTGAATATACAGTGGTGTTCAGCATTTTAGATACTTAAAAACTTCAACTAAAACATCTGACTTTGAGCTTGAGCTTCTAAATTGTATTTTAAAAAAATCACATTATTTGTATTAGAATTGCAAACTCCTCTGTGCTAATAAAGAATGGAAAATAAATGCAATGCTCACTGCTTTGAAAAGTTCAGATCCTGGAAACCTCCTAGACTTCCATTGAAGCACAGAGGATGAAAGACCTATCTTTAAAATAAAAATTAAAAAAAATGTTTCACCCAGTACTACTGATACCAGTTGTCTTAGATTTATAAAAGTTTTTCACATAATTTAAACTGATTTATACGTTTTTTTACGGTCCAGTGCAGTTTTGCATGTTTTGCAGGCGACAAACAAACAGTTAAGTATCCATCACACTTATTACACCATTATTGCAACACATTTCATTGTGTTTAGGTGCAATGACAATAAAGGTCTAGTCTATTGTTATGTAGAAACAAAATGTAGTTAAACATTAAAAAAAAATGCAACAACATATATGGTAAAAACCAAAGTAAATTGATGGTTAATCTCAGCATTTCAACATATGTAGCTTTAAATTGAAGACATTTTACATTTTCTCCTTACTAAAAAGTGAATTAGTGTTAATCATCAGATACATTCTGCAGCACAACAGATAAAAGATCTCGAGTTAAAAAAAAAAAAAATTTGATGTTAAGAAAAACACAAAATAAATCAAGCTGTCCTACAAAAGCAAGTTAAATGGTTTGGAGCACTTTGAACTCAAAGTTTAATTTATTTGAAGAGATAAAAGCGATTATATCAGCACTAATCCAATCCAGTAGTTTTATTAATTAATCAATAAAACTATTCTGCTTTGTTATGTGCCGAAATGTTTTTCAAAGTCTGTATAACCTTGGCTTTTTTTCCTTTTTTTTGCCAGGTGTGTGTCCTTGCTGCTGTTTAATGAGCGTTCTGTGTGTGTGTAACCTTTTCAGATGGCCTGGTGGACTGCATGGATCCAGACTGCTGTCTTCAGGCAACCTGTCACACCACTTCTTTGTGTGTGGGCTCGCCGGATCCCCTGGACATCATCCAGGAAACACAGATGTCCTCTGCACAGAGCAACTTGCAGACTTTCTACGACCGAGTGCGCTTCCTTGTGGGCAAGGACAGCACGCACAGCATCCCCGGAGCAAACCCCTTCGATGGCAAGTGAGTGACGAAGTACTCTGAAAAAGACACCACCCCAGGGGTTCCCAAACTTTTCTATGCCATGGCCCCCCAAACAGCATTAGCTTCTGGCCAAGGCCCCCCTCTCTCAAACCCACAAACAATGCTACAAAATATGTAAAGAAACAAACTTTTAGAATGTTTTAACTTTTATTCACTATATTCAATTCATTATTACAGCTGCTGAGCATAACATGTTTTTAACTAACATGTTTTAAACACGGGCAGCACGGTGGCGCAACTGGTAGAGCTGCTGCCTCTCAGCGAGCAGGTCCCTGGTTCAAACCCCGGTCTAGGGGCCTTTCTGGGTGGAGTTTGCATGTTCTCTCCGTGCATGCGTGGGTTTTCTCCGGGTACTCCGGTTTCCTCCCACAGACCAAAAACATGCATGTTAGGCTGATTGGTAACTCTAAATTGTCCTTAGGTGTGAGTGAGAGAGTGAATGATTGTTTGTCTCGTTTGTCTCTGTGTGGCCCTGTGATGGACTTGCGACCCGTCCAGGGTGTACCCCGCCCCTCGCACAGTGATTGCTGGACATGGGCACCAGCGACCCCCGTGACCCAAAATGGAATAAGCGGGTAAAGAAAATGGATGGATGGATGGATGTTTTAAACACTGTATTATATTCCCACTGAAAAAAATAACTTTTCAACAAACTGTTGACCAGAAGAACAAAACTAAATAAATCTAACCTCTCTCTCAAGTGTGTTTATCTGTAAATGACAGATACAGATTGCCCTAGTGGGCATTTATTATTATTATTATTATTAATTTTTATTTTTGCTTTTTTTATCTTCTTTTCTCCAGCTTTTCTGGGGGCCCCCCTAGCGTCCCCTGGGCTGCGGCCCCCACTTTGAAAAACACTGCACTACCCTACCTTGATATACTTTTAATAACTTCTCACTCCCATGCAACAATTTAATCGTTTGTTGTGCCAGAATACCTCCAGATGCAGGAAGAGGGCCACCTGCATCATGAAGGACCCCACTCACCCAGCACACACACTTTTTGCCCCACTCCCCTCAGGCAGGAGGTTAAGGAGCATTAAGTGTAGAACCACTAGACTGAGGAACAGCTTCTACCCTGAGGCTGTTAGACTCATGAATCTCTAACCAGAATAATCACTGTGAAAAATCACATCATGTTGCTGCTGATCTGTTTCACGTTGCTGCTGATCTGTTTCATGTTGCTGTGTTCATTCGTACTCATCTGCTCACACAGACTCATGTTCGTGCTGCTGTTCGGCGTATTGTTTTTTTATGCTACTAGTGCTTAGTGTATATTTAGTTGATGGTTTTATTAGTTCATATCTTAGATCTTATTACTGTTTTTCTTTTACATTTTATTGTTGGATGTACCTGGGACCCTGTGTACATAATTCTGTTCCACCAGATGTGTCACATGTGGTGTGTATGACAAGTAAAGAACCTTGAATACTTGAATCCTTGAATAGATGAGTGTGATCTAATGGCTACATTGTCTGAATGTAACAAAAACTAAGTCATTCAGAACTGTAGGGTTTCGAGGTATGGTCCCATCTGACAAATCTCCAAAGCAACACGTACAATAGTTCAGTTACAGTCCAGAACCACATTTTGCCTTAATGCCACACATGCACAGTTGTATTCAAACACTGAAAGGCAGTGTTTGAGAGCTGGTAAAGTGCTATCATTTTCAATCAGATCAAATCTTCTAAGAAGGGGAAGCAGCTGTGATCAGTAGAGGCTAAAATGGGCAAAGACCGGTGGCGTTCACTGCTGAAAGGATGATGGACAGATGATGATGGACAAACATAGAATGTGGCAAAGCAAAGAGCGCTCATCTGAAAGAAAGGCATCTCATATTCATGTATTGTGATTACTTTTACTGTAATCCATCTGAGGCCCACTCCCACAGGCAGAGCTCATGACACCCCAGCCGTGGAATATGAGATCCTTTTATATCAGGCAGGATAGCAATCAGAATCCCTTAAGATTGCCCTGATGTTTTTTTTTTTTTTCTCTTCTTCTTTTCATCTTTAATCGCTTGTGTGGCAGCGTCACCTATTTGCATACTACTTGCTTATGTATCTCTCACATCTTAGAAAATTATACAAATGTGGAAGAAACAGTCAACACAAAACAATAGAAAATAAGATAAGATTGTGAATATTTGAACATTTATGGAAGGAAGAATAGTGTCAAATTAGGAATTTACTTATATACATATATATACACATATATATATATATATGTATATATTCAATTATTATTATTTAGTTCACTTTTATTTCTAGTTTTTGTGTTTTACAAAGGTTGGCAGTCTCGACCTCTTTTTTTTGTTAGACGAAAGTGGATTGATAAAAACTGAATCAGGATTCTTTGTGTTGTTACCCAGAATGCTTCCTGATTGAATGCCTTTCCCCTCCAACTCGTTGTTTGCAGTAAAAATATTGACTTTTAATTTCTGTTCAAGAGTTCAACAAGTAAGGTATTTTCAAAATGCATAATAGATGCAGACATTTAGAAAAAATAGGGCAACCTATGGCTGATTTATGAAACCTGTTTGTTTGGTATGTTTTGGCCCATAAATATAAGAACTGAAGCTTCAGATATTGTAATCTACTAGGTTATGAAAAGTGAAAAACAGAAGTAACTGCCTGTAATGGAGTGATGTTGGGGGAGGTTTGGCTCAGTGGTTGGAAGGCACTTTTCCTATCATAGAGATCAGCTAAAGTGTTTGTGAGCAAGACATTGCACCTGAAGATGCTTATCAGAGTGAAAACGTAAAAGCGCTGTATATAGATAGTATTAAATGCATAATAAAACATACTAGGTGGGTTAAAAAGGTGCTATTTGAGTGTGCTTTGACCCAGGGGGCCGAATGCAGATGTGTACACACCTGTCCTACTGTTTACTGAAGACTTCCTATGAATACAGTTCCAAGCACAAAGTTACTTTCGCATTCCTTGATTAAAATACAACATAGTTTATTTTGTAGTTGTCCTTTTTTTTAAGTTAGTAAATGTCAAGTCATTTCAGGGACTAAAGAAGTACAGAAAAAAGCACTCCTGTCATGAAAAATACCCCCAAGTTATTGGAAAAGTATTGACAAAAAGTTTGTCGTACTATGCTAAATGGAGCCATTGTAGATTGTTTAAAAAAAATGGTGCCAACCACCTTTTCTTAGACGTTCCTTAATCTAAATTAAAAGCAGAGTGAAAGTGGTCAATTGCACTTTATCGTTTCGTATTTGGATTGCGAGGTTTTTAAACATGTATTTATTTCCTTGGTATTTAAGCTAAGAATGAATCTCAATAGAGCTGATAGCTTCATGTTGTGTTTTTGTGTCACATTTGTTCTTTTAATGGCTTTAACATTGCTTTTTTTTTTGCTATTTTTATCTTTCACTGAATTATAAACACTTTGGTCAGCTTCTGTTACTTTTAATATGCTTTAGAACTAAAACTAACTTTGAACGGCAGACATCAACCTAAACAATAAACCAATCAGTCGTCTGTAGTTCTTATATTAGCATAATTCTTGTTTCAGTTATTATACATATCTGTGTATGATCAAGCATGGGTAGCAGCTCATTTAGCAGTTTAACGAACAAATAAAATCTGTGGATTACGTCAGAGCATTGACACTTGCATCATATTCTCCAATCCTGTTTATTTCTTCATTCCGTGGTGATGTCAGCAGATACTTGAAGCGCTATGACATTTTCCTCCCATTGACATTTTTCTGGCTCTCAAGAACCACTCAACATTTTGCAGTGGACAAAGGAAGAGGCATGGAGGTTTGAGTAATACTCGTGTCTCTCACATAAGATGCAGCCATAAATAAGTAAAATGAAGAGTCCAGAGATGAGCTGCAAGATCCCAGGCCTCGGCTCACCTAAAAATATCAGTGATAATCTATTATTCATGCTTGGTATTCATTTCCCACCCGCTGACAAATATGAGCAGTTATGACAGGGGGCTTCAGACAGACCCAGTCTAGGCATCGTCCTTTCAGATATGCCTGCCCCTCTCGTCACATGATCGTCTTTCTATTGATCCTCTAGCCACTTCCTTATGCTAACAGACATGTTGGACTGCTATTTCCGATGTTTCCGTCCACAAAACGCAGCAAAGGTGCCACTGAATAAAGCATCCGCCACTGCATAAAATGTCTTGACACATAATACAATGTTGATGCTGACCAGCATAGTAAATAGGGACTTTGTCTACTGAACATTTTGGACAAAGATTTACTGCTTGGTTTTATTAATGTGGCTCCATTAACAGGCTGGTGCTTTAGTAAAATTTTATTTAGCTTTTTTTTTTATGTCAAACTAAAGTCTTGTTTTCTTGAAGACAGTGCTACCCTGTTGTAACAGCGTCATAAAAATTAGCAGAACATCAAAATTAGTTTGAAGTGGTCTCCGAGCATGTGGTGTCACACACAGGGGGAAAGAGGGGTCTGCAGTAGCCTGCTTACATTTGCTGGATTTACCCTATAATCACACCATTTGCGTGGATAATGATATTTTTTGTTGCTTTCGTGGTTATTATAGTAACAGGCACGGCCGTTTTCGCTCCCTATACTTAGGGCTGGCATGCCCTTTTTATTGTGTCTAAAAACTAGATAGAGAGAATATCCTGGTGCATGCTGAATAATCTAGGTGGAAAAAATCTAACAGAGTTAAATCAGGTCCTCTGGACGAATTCAGTAAAAACAAAAATCGTTGAAACGTTTCGTCTTTTAAAAGACGATTTGCAAAGACTGGTCCATCCCAAAGATCCAGTCACCCGGCACAAACGGAGTACCGGTAATATTGTGTATGCTGTTCGGTGTCAGGAGGGCTGTGATCTGTCTTACATCGGGGAAACTAAACAGCCACTGGCCAAAAGGATGGACCAGCACAGAAGATCAAAAGCATTAGACCAGGACTCTGCGGTCTACACTTATCTGGTCATTCTTTTAGGAATGAAGATGTGTACATCCTTGATAGAAAGCAACGTGGTGTGAGTGAGGCATAAAGGAAGCCATCTTTGTGAAGAGAACTCGTTCATCGTTAAACAAGGCAGAGGCCTCCATGTTCAACAGTCCCTCTCTTACAATGCTGTCATTGCTAATATCACTCAGCCCTTTGTGAATAGCAAGCAACCATCAAGGCATTAACGATCGTTAGGCTGATGGTCCTCCTTTATCGTGTGAACAGCTAGTTTTGACTGTCACCAGCAGACTGGTTGATCCACTATGAGAAGTGGCTATTTATAAGACAGAATTTAGTGCAGCTCCTCAGAATGGCAAAGTATTTTGGATAAAATGCAAAACGTTTCAACATTTTTTTTATTCGTCCAGAGGACCTGACTTAACTTTGTTAGATAGAGAGAATATTGTACTTTCCTTGCTATATTTTGTACATTAGGAAATACAATTAATGAAGTGTTATACTTTGTCAAATAGACGTGCTTTCCATCATTTTAAAGTTTTACACCCCACTCAAAAAATGTTTAGTTTTTATCTCCTTTTCAAGGTCAAGGTTTCTTTATTGTCATCGTCATCATATGTGGTACATGTGGTGGAATGAAATTGTGTACGCAGGGTCCCAGTTGCATCCAATAAAAGTATAAATTGTAAAAGAAAAACAGTAATAAGATCCAAGATATTTGGTATGAGCTGGAGAATCGATTCAAAGATTGTTGAGATACAACATGTCGTAAAAATGCAAGTGAGGAGTAAAGATAATATGCGACCAAATTTACCCTGCAATAAGCATGATTAAGCGTCCTTATCCATCTCACAGAAGAAACCTAAGCCATTAAAGATGCCATGCTGAGTCCAGATGGAGCACCTGTTTACTTTTCACAACATGCTCTCCCTTTGCCCTCCACAGATGATAAATTACAAACTAGAGGTTCGAGATATTGTGAAGTCTCCTTCCATTTTCTGAATTCTCTTGGACCGGTGATATAATGTGCAAACAGAAACTTTCTGTGGCCAAGTCTTCATGCTTACTTTGCTGCTTTTCCATTCTTTTCTGCGTGATGTCAATATTTAAATCATTTGTTCCGACAGCGAGGAATTATTATACCATGGGGCTGATAGAGGCTGAAAGGAGATAGTTCCACTTTCGCAGCTTCGTTGGAAGGAAATACGGATGATTGCTTCTTCAAATAAGACTGTACAATAAACCGACTCCATGAATGATTAATCAGACACTCAGGCCAGTGCTGGGTTTAATTTATTAGTTATTGTATGTAAATGGATCCTGAAGGATCTTTAGGTATGGGCTTAAGGATTCACAGTAGGATATCTTTGCTTGTTTACTTTAATGTAGTGGGCAGCCAAGGTCCTCTGAAGGAGACCTGGCCTAATTAACATAAAACTGGGTTCCAAGGGACTGGGGTAGTTCAGGGTGAATGATCTTGCCTCTGGTAAGGACATGTTGAGGGCAGCTACTAACACGCTAGTGTTAATTGTTTCCAGTACGTGGCAGTGTTTAAGGCCCAAACGTATTAAAAATAGCTATGGTCTAATGAAGAAGTGACAGTACAGCATTTGTTAAGGGACTCGTTTTTGCCAACGACTACAGAAAACGATGGCTGACCATGGGCCGGGCCATGATAATGACAAGGGCAGGGGCTGACATGGGAGACGCTCTACAGCAAGGTCTCATCTCATCACTTTAGCAAGATTAGGAGGTGAATTTGGATGACTTCCCACTATTGATTGGTGGGGACTGATGATCAGATCTAATTTTCGAAGCTGCTGGAGACCTGTTAGTCTGGAAATCTGTCGAAGTCTTGATAATCAACCAAGCAAGTCTCGCAATCTGCAGTCCTATTATTTTCTCCTTTTGCATTTTGTAATGGAAAAGATAAATCTTTTGTTTTTAATTAGAGCAGAGGCAAATTAAAGCTTTCTTATCTCATTATCTTTTCATTCTAGAATTAAAAAACAACTTTTTAGACGTCCTCAGTGGTGTTTTTTCAAGTTAAGGCTTTGTAATTTAATGCACAGTTTTTTTTTAACAACGCGTTGTCACCTTTTCTTGTCTCCACTTAAGTAATCTTAATAAACATCTGTTTATTTTGCTAAAAGAAAAAAAAGTTTGTTCTACTTTTGCTGCTTTCATTAACTTATAATTAGCTACAAAACTGCAATTCAGAACTGTCCAATATTTTCTCAGTTTAAGTTAGCAGAATATCTTAAATACTTTAATATGTGTTTGCTTTCTATTTATTATTCTTATTTGTAATATTTTACACATACTGTATGTCTGATTTAAAAGTCTTGAATATTGTTTTTTATTAATTTTTTTTATCTGCACAGTCATGCTTGTGTGATTCGTGGACAAGTGGTGACCTCAGACGGAACGCCTCTGGTTGGAGTTAATATCAGCTTCATCAACAATCCATCCTTTGGTCACACAATCAGCAGGCAGGATGGAAGGTAATGGAAACTTTTTTTTTGTTTGATTGTTTGTTTGTTCGTTTTTTTGTTAAACACACTCACAAACATCCACAGATTAAAAACAAAGGTTGCAGACTGGCATAAATCAGTCTGAGATTCTGATAATCTTGAGTCAGGAAACTATACTTTTCACAATATTGAGATATTAAAGCATTTTTAAAATGCATCACATAGCCCTTTGTTTAAAAAAAGGGCAAATAATATTGCTGTGGTAGCCTGAATAATATTGCATATTGTTTTTCATAATTATTCTTTAGCGAAAACGAAATATTCATTTATACGTATTTTTATATTACAGTAGTCCCTCGCTACTTTGCGGTTCGTTTTGTGCGGACTCGCTCTATCGCGGGTTTTCAAAGTAACGTTGGACATGACACACAATTGGCTGATTGATGGATGAGCCGCACGATCGGCATGGAATTATTATTTTAAATAAATTATTCTAAATTATTTAGCACTTGCTGCACCTGTGTGCAGCCCACAGATTGCAGGAGAAGCTTCCTCCTGCAGCGTGTCAGATCTCTGCTCTGAAGCGGAGAAGTGGGCGTGGCCGAGTGTTAGAGAGCAGCCGGTGGCAGAGAGCTGAGATCGTGACATTCTGTGCTCTTTTAGAGCATTGTAGAGTTTATAAAATTGTTAGAGATATTGTAAAAGTGTAGGAAGGGTTTAAAATGCATTTATATATATACCTGTATATATACCTGTATATATAATATAATATAATATATTTTGTGCGACTTAGTTCGCTGTGGCGACCCCTAACGCAGGGAGTAGCCAAAAGAAGAAGAAATTTTTTTATATACATATATATATATATATATACCTGTATATAAATACTAAAATAAACTGCTACTTATTACTACTACTACTTTATTATTTATTTATTTAATATTTTTAGATATATTGTATTTAGAATTGATTTACAATTCTTAAGGAATTGTGTCGTTGATGCATTACTTAAAAGCATTTATACTGTAAGAACTGTATGATAGAAAAATAGAGTAGTTTTGACAGTTTTTTTTTAACGCCATGGTTTTACCTTGAAACCTGTCAACGTCCCATGTCTAGTTGTAACGTTAAACCACTATCAGCTATGTACAGTAAGTATATTGTACAAAAACGTGACAGTGGTATTAGTAATATAGTCTAAAATGTGGTTTAGCTGAATAACAATGATGGCAAAGGGAGAAAAAAAAAAAAACATTTGCCATCACAAACAATGCCAGCATTGATCTGCTTTGTGCTTTCATTGAATCCAACTTTGGAATTCTCGGCTCAATTCCCAGAGAAATCAAACAAAGCCCTTCTGGTGCGCTCATAAGTTATGCTTCAGTTGGAGCGGGGAGACATCAGAAAATAAAATATGCCAACTCAAATCCTACCAGTGGAACTGTAAAACATGGTGCAGATGGACATTATTTGTTGATGGAAGAGTCCGATTTTGAAGCAGTCCATTAATATTTGTACTTTTTTTTTCTTACTTCATTTATAGAAATGTAATGTCTTTTGACGTTTCAACAATAAAACTCCCAACTGAAAGCCTTAAACAATTAAAGACCTAACCTTTTTTTTATGGATTGCATATCACTCGCTGCCTTCATAACAAGTGTTAAATTCAATATGGCTACCACAGCCACTTATCCCAAGATGTGTTACTGCTATAGGAATATCTGCTTAGAGTGAATTTCAGCTACTACCAGCTTAACTTTACCAGATTATCTGTAACTTTCAGTAAAATCTAGCAATTTTTGTTTTGTCAAAGATTGCTTTGCTGCAGCGGCCATCATGAATGTAATTTATTGGAAAGGTGATCCGTTCTAGATGATTATCAAATGATTACTTCTGAAAGTTTCATTGAAATCCACCCAATGGTTTATGAGATATTTTGCTAATGGTGCAAATAAACAAACATGGACTTTCATCATGGGCAGCACGTTGGCGCAACTGGTAGAGCTGCTGCCTCTCAGCGAGAAGGTCCCTGGTTCAAACCCCGGTCCAGGGGCCTTTCTGGGTGGAGTTTGCATGTTCTCTTCTTGCATGTGTGGGTTTTCTCTGGATCTTCTGGTAAAAGAATAAAAAATAAGCAGGTAATAGAGAATGCACGAATGGATGTAGAGTTGCATTCAGTCCCAACAAACACGACCCGACTCGGCCCCAGCAAGTAACCATCATTTCCAAACCCCACTCGACCCAATGAATTGCAGGTAATTACAGGTTCTAACCCGAAAAGAACCCCAGCATTTTTAATTAAGTTTTGACTACTTATATAGTTATTAACGCTCGGCGGACGCGCACAGCTGAGGGGGCAGAAAATCAGAGCTGAGGGGGTGTTTGTCCTTTCATGCCCATCAAAGCACATTAAATCCCTGCTTCTGCCTGCATTCTGCATTATTCAGACATGGACCCTGCTCTCGGGTCGTCGGCCGCACGCGTCCACTGAGTGCTGCTGAATCTTTTTTTAAATTATACCACCACTTTCTAAAGGAAAGAACAATGTCTCATTTGTTTGAATGTCTTTCTTTACTTTAACTGAACTTTCTTTTACCTCTTTCAAGACCGGTCAGCATGCAGTCAAATGGCCACGTGCTGCAGGTGACGGTATGGCAAGCCATATTGCCATATAATTGGATCGTCAGCTGCGCGCGTCCGTTGACACAATAAAAGCCCGACATCAGCCCAGCCCATACATTAAGCATATTATTATGGCCCAGCCCTACTCCGGATCAGGCTGGGCTCCGGGTTCAGGTTAAAAATGACAGCTCTAGTCTAGATGGATGTATGGATGGATGAAAGTAAAATTCCCAACCATATTCTCCCATTTTTCAAAATGCTGTTCTTTTCAGCCTCTGGATCAGATTGCACAAGCATACAGACCTTATTCAGTTGCAGCCTCCAATCCTCTCATATCGCTCATCCTCCTCTGTATTAAGGGGGCCTTGTTGCAAACCAAGCCCCTCTATCACAGCACAGCATGAATTGGTGTTTGCTCTCTAAGCTTACTTTATCAGTCGCTGACACTCTAAAGGTTTAAATTCGCCACCATTTGATCTTGATCAGTCTTTATTTCCTCATTCGTTCCATCATCGTGCCGTTCTCATCACCCGTTCTACAGTGGACGAAATCTTTCCACTTCTTTTGTCTTCTCGTTCGTCACGTGTTTTATCAACTCTCCATTTGTTCAGGCATTTCCTCCTCTAATCCACCACTGCCCTTAAGCCTTTCCTTTCTGGGCACCACTCATGCTTTCCTTGAGCGCAGGTCTTATGTCCTTTCCACTGCGATGACTCCCCTCATCTCTATTTTCCCCATTTATGTGTGCCCCATCTTTTACCATGCATCAATGAGATTTTTATTCTTGTGCTAGGCTCTGTGCCCATTCTTACCCCCCCAGCATACGTATAAACACGACTCCATCTCCCAGGTTCCCCTGTAAACATGTCCAGTCTCCTGCAACTACCCTGCAATCTCTGTAAACAGGCTCAGTGCAGCGTGAAATCAAAAATGCACCTGTTCAGCCACTTAGAAATAGGAATGCTGTCTCTACTGGTCTTTATGACACGTTCTTTAACGTCCCAGGTTTAGATTTTTATATCACTTTTTCTGATATTTTCTAAAGTTAGCTGACCTAAACAAAATAGGTTACTTTTATTTCTATATGACTGTGTAGTGTGTAACCATATTTATGTCCAGTTCCTTTGTTTGGTTGTTTTTTTTTGTTGTTTTTTTTTCCTTAGTTTTTTTCATCTATAAAATATCCCAATAACTTCATTGAAGGAACAATTTATAGGACAACTCTAATTCAGCTTGGCTCATTATTTCTTCCCACTACAGAAAGACGAAGATGGATGATACTGTTTATGTCTGTGTCAATGTGTGTGTTTGTCTGTTACCAGAATATCTCATGAACTACTGAAGTTGACCAATTATCAGTAAATGTACATTTGTAACTGCAAATGTTGGTGTCCACTTGTTTCAAAATGGCTGCCGCAGCCAGCTGACTTTAAAAAACACAAAGGGGGGGGGGGGCTAAAACTCACCTAATTTTTATTTTCATGTACTGACTTTTAAATTGGTGTGGTATTTATAATGTGGGGGTTTCAGTAGCTTGGTAGTCAGTGCTGTGTTCTTGTAATCCTGAGGTTGCAAGTTCGAGCCCAGGTTGCATCGGGAAGGACATCCAATGTAAAACAATTCCCAAATCTTTTATGCGAGTTTGCTCGCTGTGAAAACCCCTGAAGAAATGAAAAGCCAAAAGAAACTTCCATCCATCCATCCATCCATCCTTCCATCCATTATCTTTACCCGCTTCTTCCTTTTTGGGTTGTTTGGGTCACTGGTGCCCATGTCCAGCTATCACTGTGTGAGAGGCAGGGGACACCCTGGACAGGTCTCCAGTCCATCACAGGGACACATGGAGACAAACAACAATTCACTCACTCTCCACAAGGGTCAATTTAGAGTTACCAATTAATGCATGTTTTTGGTCTGTGGGAGAAAACCGGAGTACCCAGAGAAAATCAATGCAGCACGGAGAGAACATGCAAACTCCACCCAGAAATGTCCCGGGCTGGGATTTGAACCGGCAACCTTCTCGCTGAGAGGCAACAGCTCTACCAACTGAGTCACCAAGTGCTGCCCTCCGAAATAAACATACTAGTTATTTAAAAAATAATAATAATTATTATTTAGTTTTTTATTCAAAATCCAGAGTCATTAGGTGGGTGTCTTTTTTATTATAATTCTTATTACTGGTATTTTGAACATGAATTTTGCAAACAGCTTGTACAAAAAGTAATTGGATAAGCTTGCCATGGTTTCAGGCCACTGCTGATTGGTAATATTAAATAAATCCTGTGATTAGTTGGCGATTGTTCCCATGGGTATTTGACCATGAGTGTTGCATGTATGCTTAGCCGGCCGAGTGTCATGCAAACTGACGGGCCGCAGCTGCCAAACTACTCACGGGTCACGGCTACACAATGGCACAATAACAGCAGCCTGGCTCTGTAGCCTCTGGACTCGTAGAGGAGAACATTCTGTGCTTCAACCTTAAGCTAGGTGAGAGCAAAGTGTGAAACAAGTCATTTTTTATCCCCACAACCAATCAGATGCTTACCTCAAGGGAAGTTAGACTAAGCAAATTCTTTTTATAGCAGCTCAAACCAGAAGGGAGGTTGCCTATTTTTTGAAGCGGCTATTTGGACCTACTTTACCTGTAATTCAGAAAAGGTGCCTCCTGTGTGAGGATGTGGCCCTGTCCCAGGGGCCTGTAAAGGTGACCAGGTGCTAATTGGTTCTTAGCATGAAGTGACAGGAGCCGCAGAAGTCCAGTGCAGCTGCTGCCATGTTGTTGTCACCGCGCAGCCTGTTTACTGAAGCTCAGGTCAGAGCAGAGGCAGAAGCCCTTTAATGCAACAGCAGATGGGATTGCATTGCAGGGCTTTTAGACTGATGTTAGAGTGGACGGGCTTCGTCCAAGGGATCGATAAAGTAGTGGCGGCTGCCTCCATCCTGCAGTGCAAAACTCTCTCACACACATAAATGTGAACTCGAGGAGCACTGCATCACACACGCATACAGCTGAAACATCATACCTGAAACCTGCTGTTTTCCATTTCTGTTACAACATATTCAGACAGTACGAAAGAGAGATGGGCTTTCAAGATTCAATGCTAATTCTGATGAATATTCAGCATGTGTGTGCCTGAAATACGCTTAAATGTATTTTAGAGTGGAAAGTATTCTTTTGTCTTTAATAGCCTTCATTTATCTCTTTTTTTTATCACTCTTCGACTTTTATTAACAACGCTGACAGAATAGATGAATTGGGAATCAGTTCATCCTCACTGACATTCTCCACATCTGTTTTCCAGTTTCGACTTGGTGACCAACGGGGGCATTGCCATCGCGCTGCACTTTGAGCGTGCTCCATTCATCACGCAGGAGCACACTCTGTGGTTGCCATGGGGACGTTTCTTTGTCATGGACACCATCGTCATGCGGCACGAGGAGAATGACATCCCGAGCTGTGACCTTAGCAGCTTTAGCAGGCCCGTCCCTGTGGTGTCCCCAGCCCCGCTCACCGCCTTTGCCGGCTCCTGCTCTGAAAGGGGGACGATCGTACCAGAAATCCAGGTGAAGCGCTGCCTCACGTCCTCTCCTCTGCCCTGCAGGACGTATATTCTTAATGTCTCTTTCCTTCAAACAACCCATTGAATATTTTTGGCTTATGACAACAGCTGGTAGATAAAATTGGAAAAATGTAGACATGTGTTTTACAGTCTCATTTCAGAGATTTTTATGTTCAAGAATACTAAATCCCGTCTATAAGTTTTAGATTTTCAGCTCAAAACATATCAATACCATTTGAAAAGTATTTTCTTTTACAATGCACATATTAGTAGCTTGCCCCCTGCCATGTTTTGTGCATCTTTACATGTTGCTCCTGAATGTCTAGCTGGCATATCTCTGCTCTTCTCTCCTCATATCCCAGTTTGTTCCTTACGATTGATGACATTTCAGTGAATTTAGAATGCTGTTCTGTCTATTTATAGCAGCCCTGTCTTTGCTAATGCTTGAGCTCTAAGAGCTCCACACAAGGACGTTTTCCCATTTACACTTGTAACAAGGAATTTTGATCAGTTAACCACAAATAGCTGCAATCTGTGAGCATTTAAAAATAAATGCATCTGAAGTGACATGTCCCTCGACCAACGTGGCTTTGAGCAGCTGTTTTAATTGCTACGCTACATCTCGTCTTGTGCCGTGGAGACGGATGATGAGAGAAGATTTAATTTTAGTAGAGAGGACTGGGTCAACTGAACTAGTGCTGTCGATCCTTGATCTTAAAAAGGAACACTGTGTAAAGTATTTCACTTAGTGGTTTATCATCTTGGGGCTATGCATCAAATCTAAGAGAAAATTTTCTGAGGCAACAGCATTGTTTGTCTCTTACCAAACTAGTATCAATAAATATGTTGTAGGACTGTGCAAACTCAGAGCTCAAGGGCTCATTTTTTATACAGTTGTCTTCTGCATAACAGGTAAGA